ATCACGCCTTCAGATTAAGTGGAAATGGGGCATTCAAGGATTATGTGGTCCAGCTGCAGCCCCCATCCCTCCTCCCTCCTCCAGTCCCTGTTTTGTCCCACCCTCCTCCTTCCCAGCAGCCATGGGGACACGCCAGCTCCCCGCCTGCCACCCCAGGGCCCCCCCAGCAAGGCAGGGAGGGAGAATGACTCAGGGGGACACTGAGTCACAGTTTCAGCAGGGACGCGGGGCTGGCATACCTGCAGGGTCAAGGCTTGGCTAATAATAACCCACCTCCCCTGCTGCAAACAACTTGGCGCCTCAGGGGGAAGGCAGAAACAGCCACCGCAGGACTCCAGCCAAGGAGGGGCAAACATTTTCGTCAGACCAGTCCAGTAGCACGATAAACACTTATTTCAGGGCTCTGCACCCCTCCTGCTCTGACCAGCACCATCATGGTTACGTTTTCATCTGTACCAGCCCTGCTCTGTCCCTTCCCGCCTCGCCGCGGGCTCAGCACCAGGTTTTTCAGAGATGCCTCATGTCCCCATGGCAGGTGACGGCCAGGGACGAGGGCGCAGGCCGGGGAAGGGGAGGCTTCGTCCGAATTTTTTTTTGCTGCCGAAGCCGCTCTGGGCTGCGCCGGGCAGGAAATTCTTTCTTCGTGCAGGGTTGGGCGAGCCCCGCTCCGTTTTTGCTTCAGTTCACCTGTTTGATGGCTGGGACAACATGATCCGGGGACGGAAAGGCGAGGTTTCAACTCCAAATCCCTCCCTTTCGCAACCGGGGCAGGGGAGGAGCAGACACAGCCCAGTTGTGCAGAGCTCAGCAACTCGCAGACGCAAACGTGCTGCTCCCCAGGAGCACCCATCCTTCAGCATCCCCAAACTCTGCTGGAATTCCAAGGTTTTCTCCCTAGGACGTGCAGCAGAGGGCAACCAGGAGGCAGCAAGCACAGGATGGACACACCAGGGAAAGCTCCAGCCCTTGATGGCTCCAAAAAAATCTTTCATTTTCATACTGGCATGACAGAAAGAAAATCACCTCCTGGAGAGTCCAGGACGTGCTGGACCCAGGAGGACCAAGCCAAGGCAGGTGCCACAAAACTGGGCCACGTCCCAGCTCACAGGAAGGCGGAACAGCAGATGCCATGGGGACACGAGGTGTGGGCAAAGCCAGATGCTCCTGTTCCCAGCATTGCCATGGCGAGGTCCTGCCTTCACGACGAGCCCCGTCACCTCAGGACCACTGGCCCCCAGCCACGGAGCCCACCCCGAGAGGCACACGCAACTTCTACAAAAACGTCCTTCCCTCCTCCCAAAAAAGAGGCCGCGTGGAGCAGCAGGGTTCCCGCGGGTCAGTGTTATTGCTCAGTGTGATGGGCGCTCGGACACAGGAACTTAAGGCAACAGGAGTAAGTGCACGAGGTGGGACCCCGACGCGTGCCCGGCCCAGCCGGACCCCCCCAGCTCATTGTCTCAGGCAGTCCTCGGTGACGCCCTGGGCGGCCAGCTCGGCCAGCACGTTGTCCAGGTAGTTGGGGTCGGGGTAGCCGTGGCCGCTCAGGTTGGTGTCCATCTCCGTCTTGTGGTGGATCTCGTTCCACACCACCGTGTCGCTCTCGCCCGTGGTATTGGAGGTGCCCACCGTGAAAATCAGGCGCCTCTTCCAGGCCACCCTCAGGAGCTCCAGGACCTAGAGGTGGGAAGAGAAACACCAAAGCTGGCCTTCAACAGCCACACCTGAGCTCTGAAAGCAGCTCGCCAGGAGCTTGACAACCTAAATCCCTGCTGGAGAAGGAGGAAATCAAAGATCTCAGCATCTTCCTCAACTCCTGGTGCCCCTGATGGGAAGGAAGGACTGTTCACTACACGTGCTGGTCCTCCTGTGCAGAAGTACTGGCTCAAACTTGAGACAAACGCA